ACCCAGATGGGAAAGTAATATTCTTTGGTTTCTGGAGAAAAGCCTCAAATTGGCTGTTTTTAACATTAGCAGCCAGTGAACTGTTGTGTAAACATGGTATCTAACATCCTAGCAGCAGGTGAATATTTGTAGTTCCTCTGGGATGAATCTACTACTACCATAAAGTCCTGCTGTGAAATAAAGCAAAAGAATATTATTTTACATCAAAAATAGGATATGGATTCTTGTTTATTGAAATTCATGCCTTTAAGCTACCCTGTTTTTGTTGAGTGACTGGATTATATATTTTAAAAAAACAACAAAATTGGCCATGTCCTAAATGATTACATATATTAAAAAATAAACCTGAAAACCTGGATGTATAATTAACTAATTTGAACACTAGACTTAAACAATTTTAAATCTGAATAATCAAAAGGTTTTTGTTTTATTTCAAATCTCATTTTATCTGGGTTAGAAATATTTAGAGAAGAGATTGAATTGCAAAAGCAATGAACAGTAGTGGTAATTAATATACAAACCTTATCAGTATTTTAAATTTTATTCAAACAGACTTTCTACACTGATAAGATGGCATCTGTAGGCATTTTTAGCACAATATGATTAGTTGCCAATATGTATAATTTCATAAGAGCAACAATTTCTGCATTTAGTCTATTAATAGGAACATGTTGATCCAGAAGCCAGTGGGTATTAAGATAATGTCTCCTCCATCCTTCAAAAACCTTCACTTGACCCTGCTATACCCGCAAACTACCTTATACCCTAGGAAATGAAGATCTGTGCCTTAGAAAGATGACTTTGGCAGCTGTGTGGAGGATTCTTTGGAGAGGGGGGAAAGACTTGAATCAAAGAGAACAATTAGAAGGCCATTTCACCAGTTGAGTTCAGAAGTGATGAGAGCCTGCACTAGAAGTGGTGTGGTGGGTAAAAGATGGGGATAGTGGGAAATGCTTTGTAGAGACATAATCTTCTATATGTATGTGTATGTATATATGTGTATATATATATATATATATACACACACACATATATAGAATAGGAGTGAGAGACTGGAAAATGGTTCTCCAATCCCATCTCCTCCTCCTTTTGACAACTCAACTCCCAGGAAAAGTACTTCCTTAACTTTCTCACTATTCTCTTTTCTGTCAATTTCCATCTGAATTCCAATCTCCCACTTGCCTGAAATTGTTCTCTCCACTATCAGTCACCTTTACTGCTAAAGCATGGTCTTTTCCTAGCACCCATCTACTTGACCTCTATGCTGATTATGACAATGAAACTCTTCATCCCATTAGTTTTAAGCTTTCTGCTGATTCTCCTACCTGTCTGCCCATACCTTCTCTGGCTGATCTCATCTATTAGGTATGGGACTACTCTAAGGCCTGGATAACCTGAGTCATCTTTTTTCTCTCTCAGTGATCAAGTCTTTTGGATCCTTGTAGAATTTCTCCGTGGTTGATTCCGAAGTCTACATATCCAGCCCTAATCTCTTTTCTGAATTCCAGTTTCATATTACCAACTACCCAACTTGCCCAAAATAGAGAAAAAAACAAAAACCCTATCTCTTGCCATCATCACCTAATCTCCCTTCCTCCAAAGTTCCTTATTTCCACTGAGTAACACCATTTTCCCAGTCAGCCAGGTTTTTTCAACTTCAGTCATCCTTAATTCCTTTTTCCCTTATGCCATTTCAATGTTGTTGATTGCATCTTCATAACTTCTCACTTATGTATCCTCTTCTCCATTTATGTGATTCTTAGGTCCAGGTCTTTATATCTTACCTGTACTAATGCAATAAAAACTCCTAATTGATATCCCTTCTTACAATTTCTTCCCTAATTGATCTTCCACACGCCTGCCAAATTAATCTTCTAAGGAACATACCTGACCCTGCTCAAAACCTTCAGTGGCTACCTTTTGCCTCCAAGATAACTCCTCTCAGTCTGACATACAAAGTCCTTCACAATCTAGCCACCACGTACCTTTTAAGACTTATTTTAACTATCTACACCATCTGAAATACATGCTTTCTGTTCTATCTTTCAGGATATTTAAAAATATCCTGAAGGCTCATTTTAGGTATGACCACAATCATTACTGCTCAAATTACCTGGTATACATACTTACCTGCATACAACAGAGTAAACAGAATGGATTGAGAGGGACGGATTCATCATTTCTTTCTATTTTAAGTGATTGACATAATGTAGGTTATTAATATTTACTGAATTAGATGGAGACATTCCTTACCCAATTTCCTGTTTTAACACAAAGCATTACTAAGTTTAGATTCTTGGTCCTCCTTTTCTCCGTCCTTTTTGTTGAGAAGTCCTTCTCAATTTATATTTTGCCGATGAACTATTCTCTCTCTCTCCATGTATATATATTTATATCTTGATTTATATTAATCTTTATACCTGTTTTAATAAATCCCATATTTGTGTGCACACACACACAGATGCATTTACATGTTATTGCTTTGAGACAATTTAACATTTAAGTACTTGTCAGCGAGACACTATTTAAGCCTTACTTAACAAATATTATCCCTAACATAAGAATAACCAGAATCATGTTCCACACACACACTTGACATAGCTAATTGCTGTCTGTCACCATCCTACTAGCATAGACTAATTGGTGTTTATCATTGTTATTTTCTGTAATGCCCTAGCATACAAAACTTATGAGATAGTGTATGAGAGAAAGCCAGATAATAAAGGTCTTCATTAATAAGCTAAAATGGTTTGTCTTTTGAGTGAACCCCTGGTATTACTAATCTGAAAAATATGAGGAATAGAAGGGTGACTTAAGAGTCATCAGCAATTAAGCTTAACTTTCTGTGTATACATTAATCATATTGATATTTCAGGTATTTGTACAGCTGCAAAGATGTAATATTACGAAGGAATACAGCTGGAAGTCTAGGTTTCAGCATTGTAGGAGGTTATGAAGAATACAGCGGCAACAAACCATTTTTTATTAAATCTATTGTTGAAGGAACACCAGCATATAATGATGGAAGAATTAGGTAAGGATGAATGGGTAACTGAAGGGGGTTCTGTTCTTGCAGAATTTCCCCTCAGTTTCTTTCTGAATACACAGGTTTATTTTATTAAGGATTGGGGAGGGAGCATACTTTGTTCCATACTACTTAAAAAAGCCTGGCTATACAGATTTTCAGGTTTATGTGTTAACCAGTAATCTTTCCACCATATGTGAATTTAAGTAATAAAGAGAAATAAATACATTTGAATAGAAAAATAAGGACATAACCATCCTTTTTTGATGATCAATTATATAATCTTTGTCTCTAATATATTTTACAATACTTTAAATACAAGAAGTATGGAGAAGGCTTGAGACTCAAATAACCTTAATGGGAAAGTAAGATGATATGAAACCATATGTGAGATATGTGAAAGAGAACTAAAATCAGCAGAATAATCTTAAAATAACTGTAACTATGGATAAACATATTGTGTTTCTATATTTCTAGATGCGGTGATATTCTTCTTGCTGTCAATGGTAGAAGTACATCAGGAATGATGCATGCTTGTTTGGCAAGGATGCTTAAAGAACTGAAAGGAAAAATTACCCTCACTATTGTCTCTTGGCCTGGAACATTTTTATAGAAGTTTTGCTGTGGTGGAAAAAGGAACACAAACAAGCTATTTAAAATTTGACATGAGATTTTGACTTTTTTTTTTTTTCAACTTTACTTTTTAAGGGATACATTAAGAAAAATGTAAACTTGCATGTCAGGAAAAGTAGAGTCTCAAGAAAAATGCTTCTTGAAAAACCTGAAAACTATTAGTAGTTTTTCATCAAAGTGAAAGACTCATCATTTCATGTCTCTAAGTTTGTATTTTTCTATATAATAATGTAATAAAAACCCTTTAGCTGGAACTACTTGTGTGCTCCTTATTATCGTATTCAAATTTATATGCATTTTGATTAAGAAATCAACAAGGAAAAATAATTGGCAATTGTAAAACACCACAGAAATAATCTGAGGACTAAATTTATAGTTTCAACCCCAAATAGCTGAAGAGTACATCAGAGCAAGATTTTCCTTTCATGATCAGCTAAGCAGCAAATATTTTTCAAATTTATTTTGTCTCAATTATATGATGATGAATTGAATTTGTTATAATTAAAAATAAACTAACTCATTCTTTGTAAGGCCACATTATTTGTTACAAAAACTACCAATATTAACTTTAGGATCAACCCATCAGTACTCAAAATTATGAGTTTGCCTTTTTTTAAGTCTTTATAAATGATCAATTTACTAGAAAATGAAGGTTATTTTTATTCATAACCCATAGGCAGTATCAACAATGAAAAACTGCACAAATGGGTAGGTAAAGAGGCCTTGAAAAAAATCACCAAAGGTGACTGGTAACAGAAAACCAATTTAATCCTGGCTCTTCTGGATGGCTACGAAGAGGTCCAAACTTGTGCCAAAGTGACAGGGTACTACTGTGTATGTGCCTGCAAGGAATTATGTAAGTCAAGTAATTTCTAACAAAATTACCAGATTGCCTTAAAAATGGATTTTCCTGATTTGGAAATACAACCCATTTGTTTATATTCCCAAATTTATACTAACAATCTGTTGCTGAATAGTTGTAATACCAAAATGAGTGCTGGATTATGTCGCTAGAGATGGCTCCATTCTAATATGGAAGAAAAAACTTACTTGCAAATAACATGTTCCTGTTTTCAGTTTTCATTAAGTCCTCTTGAAGCCCATATAAGTATGCCTTTGATACTTTTGTAGTGTGGCATGTGACAGGCAACTGATTAGCTCATGAAAACTATGGCCTTCCATTAGCTAGCTTGTGTACATATATTAACAGTGATAGCCAACTTGGTCTCTCGCTTGAAAGGAACATCCTCTTTAAATTTGCTTAGTGATTTGTTCACAATACTCTGGTGATTTCTGCCCTTTCATTTCTCAAATATTACAAGATGACAAATTCAAGCAAATCTAAACTTGACATGAAAAATTCACTTTATTTTGGGAAAAAAATTAACCTTTTCTCTTTATACTAACAGAATAAGATTAAGCAGAAATTTCTTAAACATTATCCAGAAAAATAACAAGATTTAAAGCAGCCAGTTTTTGGCATTAATACAAGCACTACAGGCCTATTCAGCAGGGGCAGCCTCAGTGCTCTCCTGCTCTGGGGCAGGTTCACTGCCAGCTTCTTTTCCTTCTTTGCTCCTTTTCGATTTTTTGTGTTTGTGTCTCCTGTGACTGTCCCCTTCTTCACTTTCATGGCGTCGTCTGCTATTACTAAAGAAAAAAGGGAAAAAAAGGTCAGAGCTACTATATACTGACTGGTGTTTAAAATATTTTTTACACTAGAACGTGATGAGTTTTGAAACCATAACTCCTTGTATGAAATCTTAATGTTTCTGTGTGCTTTGGGAATGAAGGAAAAACAAAACACTGATCAGATCATCATTTTGAAGAGACAAATTTTTCTAGATGACCTTTAGGCATGTATATATTTTTACCACAGTTAACCCTAGAATCAACAGTCTTTAACTCATATTATACTTATTTATGTAACCTAAATTATAGAAGAGACAATTATAAAAAGAAATAGCAGCTGTGGAATTTAAACAATGGATTTAAAGCAATTTTAAAAATAGGAGACATTCTGGGGTGCTTACATTAATTATCTCTATATGCCGCCACACTTCTAATTTTCCAAATCACATTCTGTCCTGCGTTGTCCTTTATGTCCCTCATGTCATATACCATCCAAATTTTTGGACAATAAAAGCTTGAATGCACTATCTAATGGCTACGAATAAGTTTTATGTTTCAACAGGTTATTCTTAATGATTTAGAGAGCAGCATGTACACTACTAATTATCTGGAAGTGTTTATATGATTTTTCTAATATTTCAAGTCAATTGGATTTCTACTAGTTTCATATTCATTTCATTTTTTAAATTAAAGAACAAACCTTCTAGATGACTTGTGTCTTGTCTCCTCTTTTTCTCTGTGTCTTCTTTCTCTGTGTCGCTCTTCTTTTTCTCGACTTGCTCTATGACGCTCATAGCCTCTTTCTGTATATTCTCTGTATCTGTATCGTTCTTCGTCACTGGAATTGAAGTAAGGACAAAGTTAGCTGGTAAACTATCAGACAAAAATAAGGGCAGGTATATTAAATAATACATAGTTGTCATTACATACTACTTATAAGCAAATATTACCCATCAAGGAATAAGGGGGCCTGATGCCTCCTTACTGGAAATATCGTACAGCAAAAGTCTGATGTTAAAATAGCAAGTGAGTTCTTGACCTATATATTTCTAGGGGTCAATGTAGCAAGTGACAGGTTTGGAGGAGAGGGAGATGAATCTGGATGAGGGTTTGAGTGAAGAGATATGGGGCTCTACTTCCTAGAACTATCATGTATTTTAGAGAGCATAAAAACCTAGCTGCTTTTTGCAAGTGAATGACTAGCTAGGCTCTAGCTCCACAATTATTTCTGATAACTAAAGAAACAATAGTTTTTCCTCTAGTTATTTTCTTCACATGCAAGAAATAATACCACCTGCCTCTTTATGGAAAAAAATTATATATAATTCTGCCTAACAATACTAAATACAAGGAAAAGCAATATTCCTTTTTTTTTTTTTTTGGGTGAGGCAATCGAGGTTATGTGACTTGCCAGGGTCACACAGCTAGTAAGTGTCAAGTGTCTGAGGCCACATTTGAACTCAGGTCTTCCTGATTCCAAGGTCAGAACTCTATCCACTGCACCACCTAGTTGCCCCAATATTTCTTTATCTTACAATTTATTCATAAAGCCAGAAGATTAGCTTGAAATGGCAAAGAACTTTGATCAGAAATCTGTATAATCCAGAAGTCACGAAACCGAACCTGCAAATTTGCTACTTTTTTGTATCTTGATTTGGAAAAAATTATATTTTCCCTAATCATGATGGGCTCTTTTCTTCATACTGCTCTGTGTTATTAGAACAAGTCTATGCACAAAACTTCAATTCTGAAGGATACTCAACCTTAGTAGCAATTCCACTGTGTTAAGGGCAAATAGATGAGAAATAGGATGTTTATATAAAGCAGAAAACAAAACCTACTGTATAAACCAGAATACTTGGTTTCAACTTATATCTGAACATTTCTTCTATTAATGCAGAAGGAAACATTCTCAAAAACATGGAGTACCATTTGCCAAAATGTAAGGAAATAATTTGTTTCTACAACTGGCGACTGCAAACTCCAACCCAATACTTAACTTATGTAACCTTAAGCCAAGTTACCTCTTTCAATCTCAGTTTCCTCATCTGTAAAATATGATTTGACTTAGATGATCTCTAATGTTTCTTCATGCTCTAAACGTGATCCTACAACATATATACTAAAATTGATTTTTCAATGAATATGACTTGATAATTATTGTTAGCCTACTTATATAAAAAAGTATTTAAATGCCTTAAAATTTATTTCGCCATCTGAAACACATGGTAAAAAAGATCATAAGATCACAGAGTTAGAGCAACTGACTTGCTGAAGGTTCAGAACCAATGCTTTTATGAACTGTACCACACAGTAAAGAAAAAACTGCAGGGGAAAAACTGAGCAAATTATGCATGATTGATAATGGTTTCCAAACTATACACTGTGCTCTATTTCAGAGGAAGTTACTTTTAAGCAGTTCATAAATGAAATGATGCACTCACATCAAATTATCATGCTTATGTCTCACAAAATTAACAAAACTCTTCACTAAAACACCTTTTATAATTAAATGAATGAAAAAAAAAAACTTAGCCAAACTATTTACTTTTTGCATATCATGACAGTAAGCTGCAACTCAGAAAAGTTTGAAGTAGGCCACCAAAAACACTGTGGCTTCATAAGGGGAGAAGAGGAAGGGAGCCTGGAAGAAGAAAAATGGACTTCTGGTATCACAGAGGCCTTAGAATTATTAACTTGGAAACAATTAATATTTAGTATTAATAAATAGTATATTGATAAAACAAACATGCCTAATGTTACCGGAACATTCAACAAAGACTATTTAGATAATTATGATCTGACCACTGACTCTCCAAAAGTTCAAATATGAGAGCCGTAAAACTCTGGGATGCCGCTTTCACCCAAATTAAATTAAAATATTCTGAAAATCAGAATTCTCAGGATGAATTCCTACAGCATGGGTTGAAAGGCCAAAATGATGCACAGAAAAATCAGTTATGTTGCTTTCATCTCCCTTTTGCTTCTCTTCCCATACATCTCTAACCTGTGATTCCTTTCCCTACTGTTTGAGTTGGTACAATGTTGGTAGAAGAAAGGCAAGATGTTAAGAGAAAGGCAAAAATAAGAATAATAAAGTCAGAATAATACTAATCTCTTTAAAAAGAGAAAATAGTAATGGTAGTAATTTTACTGCCAGTAGCATTCAATTCTGGTAACAAAGGACCTCACCTAATTTACTTTTTGTGAGAAGCATGGTGGGGGAGGAAGTGGGGTGAGGATTGTTAAAAAAGTAAGATTTTGAAAATTATGATCAAATCTTCAAAATAAAACACAGCATCATCACAATAGTAAACGACATGATGCTAGTTAACTTTTTTTTTTTTAAAGAACACGTTCTCTTTTTAATGATTTAAACTGGAAAGCATTTTTCTTCCTCTCTTATTAAACACATGTCAATTACTTCATGATTTGTCATTTTTAACCCTCCCTCTTACCCTAAAACCAACTTCTGTTAGCATAAGGTCCTTTAGTTTCTAAATGTAGCCATATGGCAGCAGCTTTACTGCAGATGGTGGATAATTTAGTCCCACACACAAAACCCAAGGCCTCTTCTCCCACTCCTTCTACTGATAACTCTGGCAGTCACACAGAGGTTTCTCTGGGCCTGGAAGTCATTATAGCTCATTTCAAGCACCCTAGAATGACCAACTTTCTTTCTGGCCCTCAATTTAGCTGCCTGAAAAACAGATGTTACAACTGGTCTGGACTTCTTAAAACACTGACCCTGTAATTTGTAATACAACACACATACTATATGCCCTATCAATATAATGTCTGTTTTCAGAAAGAACTACATTTTCTTATACTTCATTTGGACCTTTAAAGTATGTTTTATATGCTGGAGACAATTCAGACCTACACAATACTCCCAACATTTCTCCCTCTGTGGCTTTAAACATTTTTTTTCATCATGTCCTAAAGTCTTAGATAAAGGTAAACACTGACTGCTAGCACTGCACCTCAGGAACCTAAAGATTAACAATTATATTAAGCCAATTTGAGAAAAGTTTAATGTATGTTCTTTCACTGAAAATTAAATAGCACTTAAGATTTTTTTAAAGTCGTCTTCTTCACCAATGCATTATTCACACATACTGAAACTCCATGCAAAAATAGTTGCTTTTTGCTTACTGTTATATTAAGATTAAGCTCTTTGCTTAAGAACATGCATATTTTAGAGACAGTGGGTTTATTTCTAAACTAGTAAGCTAATAAGAATTATGACTGAATCAGAGTTTGATTAAAGTAATGATCCTCTTAGAAACACAAACATTGAACTTTACAGAAATGTCCATTTACCTGTTTGGTGATTACAGCAACATAAAACACACCAAATATATCTTACATGTCTACTATACGCCAGGCATTGTGCTATATGTTGTATATAAACTTACAGAAAGGAAAATAAGTAACTTATAGCAACAAATTAGGTTTCAATTTTCCAATGAGATGGAAATTTTCTGACATAGATGAGGACATCTACGATTCTACCTGGATCATCAATCCGGAGCTAAAAGGGACCTTTGAGGCTTTCTCCTGCCAATTCTTCATTTTATCCTTGGGGAGGCTGAGGTACAGAGAAGCTCAACACTGTGTGGCCAAGGCAATGGGTCAGAGACCAGACTGAACTCATCCAGGTCACCTCCCCTCTATCTCTGGAAAGAGATTATTCTTTCACCATAGGAAACAACAAGAACTACCATTTGTGGTGCAGGTGAGGAGATAGCGGTGGGCTGGTGAGGTTAAATTTGAGTAGAAGCACCAGGAAGTTTAATTCCACTACTATTCTACAATTTCCACATCCAAACTGGATCATGATAAATTTACAATTAAGCAACTATTATGTGCCAGACATTTATATTTTCCATGATCAATATTAGCCATGAAAAAAGTAAAAACACTCTAATATGAATCCTTTTAATTTTATAATCTAAGCACGAACTTGGAAATATTTCTTGGAATCACTTAAATACTGGAATCCTTATAACACTTTCTTCAGAATATAGCAGGCATAAGGGAGTAATTGTGGCTTTCAGACAGTATATCAAAATTGGTCATCATCAGCCCAAGGGTATAGTAGGTGCATATGCACCTGCACAGAGAAGAAACATATTACGTATCCTCTGCCTAAATCCTCAACTCAAGTAAAAGGGAAGGCAAATGGGAATTAAAATTGCCCTGTAAGACTTTATTGCAGAATGATAAACCTATAAAATTCTAAGACTGGAAAGAACTTTGAGCAATTACTTGGTCTAGTCAGCTGCAAAATTCTAGTCAATTAGTTAATTCAATAATAAAATCCAAAGTAGTTTATTTCAATTACAAAATTATGAAAATAACCTAAATTATATTCCTCTCATCAAATTAGTTTACAAAAGTAAAAAATAAATTATATAAAAGCTTAGAAATCACGATCAGGATGAAAAGATGAATGTAAAAAAAACTGATCGAGGATAACATAACAGTAATGAATACACACACATTTAATTTAGCTATTACCATAGGTATTAAATGTTTCCTGTAAGTAATACAATAAATTGTTCTATCTGTTCCTTGATCTGCTTTGTAAAGCAAATGTATGGCAATATGTTACATTTATACATTTAATACAAATTTTACTTTTACATTCATAAATTGATTTAAGTTTATAATTTTGTTTCTTCTTTTGTCGGTATTTATTAACTTTAAAATAAAGTGAGAGCCAAGATGGTGCATTAGAGGCAACCTAGCTGAACTCTCTCAATATTCCCCCCCAAATAACTTTAAAATAATGCCTCAAATCAAATTTTGGAGTGGCAGAACAAAGTCAAGAAA